AAAAAAAAAAAAAAAAAATGCGAAGAAAGAAATTCGTTAAGTTTGTTGTAAAGGGGGTAAGTAAGTTTATATACCTCAAACTGGTACGTGGTGGACGGAGTGGATGATCGGGCTCGGTCGGAGAAAGAGCGGAGACAGGAGTTTGCGCGAGATCCCTGTACAATCGTAATCTCACGGTCGGTCCACATTGTCGCAGCAGTTGGACAGCCTCTTCGTGGCTCATGGGCGACAACGGTGCACCGTCCACGGCGACTATTTTGTCCCCGGGTCGAATTCGTCCGTCGCTCAACGCTGGCTCACGTACTAATGCCCTCACGTAATGGCCGAGCGCGCTGCTATCCGCCTTCCTCAGAGTGAAGCCCAGACTGCCACCGACCTTTGTCATTTCTATGTCGAATTCCTGGCAGGGAGCGATTTAACGAAAGAGTTTAGTTCGTTTAATCCCCCCCTCTCTCTGTGGCAAATCGTTCGGGATTAGCGCTTCCCTTTGCGGAAATGAAAGAGCAAGCTATACGTATGGAAATTCGGAATTGAGATTTTGTTGGAAAGCAGGAAATTTTGAAACTTTTGAAAGAGGAATTTCTCTCTTAATATTTTGGAAAAGAAATGAAATTAAAATTGCGTGTACGTGCATATTTATGGTTACACAACAAATAAAGATTAAAGTAGAAAATTATTAAATTTTCGTTGGATGTAAAAAATTGAAACTAAGATATAAAAAAGAATATAACGAAGGTATATACGTTATTATAATTAAATACGTGTAATGAGAAAAAAAGTTATGAATAAATTGCTTTATAATATGAGTTTTTATCCGATTCATATTCATTGATGTGTTCGATGTAGGAACACGAGGGATTTATTATAAATGCATCGGAAAACCGTGTATACCCCTCGGAAATCTAAATTGTAAACGAACTTTGATCAAATTTCGTATTCCTCTTGGAGGGAAGGAGGACTTTCTACATGTAACAGATAGTACATTCGTTATTCATTTTGTACGACAGGAGCATAGAATTTTTCACTAATAAAAATTTTTCACTAAATAAATTTGAAACATTGAAGAAAGAATGATTTTGCAAAAAGAGATTTTACTAAATCGTTGTTATTCTCGTCTAATAACGATATAATATATCGCGTGTCAATTTCAATCTCTCGTTTAAAAGGAGTGGAAAATTGTGGAATTCGGTGTGCGATTCATTGATGCAGGAAATTCAGCTATCTAGGATTTCCTGATAAAAGTTACTTACGCCGCAGGGTTCGATTTGAAGGGGTGGCAGAGGATTGAGTATTCGCAATGGTGGTGGTGGTTCACGCCTTGCTGGGGGTGGTGGTGGTGCACCCGGTGGTGTGACACTCATATCACCCGGAAGTCGGGACACCACTAACTCGACAGTACTGGGTGTCGTTCGTAGAACTTCGAGGGCCTCCTGCAACAAGTTGCAGATAAAATTAATAATTTTCTTCAACGATGAAAAATATATTTATATTTATATATCTTCGCTAATAATAAATTATCGTTTATATATATCAAAAATTTAAAGTAGCCTTTCATACCCATCAATTTGTTGTTTAATTTCTATTCTTTTTTATATTTATCTTTACAGATAAGGTGAAAATTGTACGTAATTTTAATTTACAATCTTTTTTTTAAACGTTTCTAGGAAACGTGATATATTCACATATAATAATATCTAAGAATTCTCGTTTCTTTTTTCTTTTATGAAGAATATGAGCTTTGCACGTGGCTGCAAACCACGCGTTCTCTCTTCATCTTCTATCCCACTTATGCTCACCGCTTAACGCGATGAGCTGGCTGCGACAAAATAGCGATTACTATAGCTTTAGATGGGAGCTACGGGTTTGTCTTCTCGTAGCTCTTACGAGATTTGCATTTGATTAGCATAATGCAGCTACATCCGGAACTCGGAGTAAAGATCGTCGCCTATCTTATCGTTGTCGCCCCGTTTGTCTCCCGAGAATCGAGATGCAATATCGGTTTAATATTGTGGACCTCAGACGCGTGAGGTTAACCCGTTAATTATTAATTAACGAAATCTTATGCACGAACTTGTTGAACAATTTGATAAACGATTCGAAACACGGATGAAAATACGTACAAATATCATTGTTCAACGAGTTTTTTTAATTTAATTAATTTAAAAAATTTTTTAAAAAAGAGGAGAAATTTGTTAAAACTATATACATATGCTGATTTGCTTACATAGTTAGTGAGACCGGTTAAAGGAATTCCGTTGGCAGCCAAAAGTATATCGCCAGGTTGAAGTTTGTTGGATAAGGCTGCAGGTTGTTGAGGAAACAGTCTTTTTACCCTAACAGGGCCGGCTGTCCCACCGCCGGAAACGCTTAAGCCAAGTCCTCGGCTGCTTTTCTGCAATGTCACTCGGAACGTGCTCTCTGAAAATCATACAAAGTGCCGTTTAATTTCAAAGCAACTGCTTCAAAGTTTTTTTTATTTTTTTTTTTCTCTCTTTAAAATGTCCTAGGAGAAAAATCTGCTTCGAATTAACGACGAGGATAACGAAATTATAATTGCTGTCTTTCGAACGGATGTATCCTTAGATATATCATACGAATTTTTTTTTTGTTAATTAATCGTTTTTTAATCGAAATATAATATTTATATATTTCATGGTAGTCTAAAATAAAGTAAATTCTTATGATTTATAATAAGAAATAAATTCATATACAGATACAGATTTCTAACTTAAAAAAATACCGCGAATTAATTTATAAATCACATATTCAATTCTGTTAATTATTCCAAAATTTTTATTTTTTAAACAAATAATTTAAATAATAAGATTTTTAATCGATTTTAGACATCAACTCGTCGTCAATATAACACATTCACGTATAAATCAAATTTAATTAAAATATTTTTATCAATATAGTTCAATACCTTCGATACATGTATCCTTCTTAAATGGGGAGGACATATGTCAATTTTTAAACGATTTCACCTCAACAACAAATTCACGAAAAACATAGATCGAACGTTTCGTTTCGTGCTACACCATACTTCGACCAGTTTATTTCCATCGAATGGGTACAAAGAGAGCAAACGAAAAAGCGAATGAATCGTTCGTTTACACTGCAAAGGCAGAGCATGCCGTTCCGTAAATATTTATATCGCGAACAAGAGGAAGGAGCACACCGGTTCTTTTTTACCTGTGCCCGGTCTACATTCCCCAAAATTGTAGTCCGTTTGTAATTTACGATCCTCTCTGACGCATGACCTAATATTTGGAATTGGAACTGGAACTCGAACAATTATTTTCCATCCCTCTCGTCCGTGCAACCTCACTTATACGCCACCAAACCTTGAATATTTCAGTTGTTATAATGACTTTTACGAAGGCCCCATAATTTCGAACTATCCCACCATGAAATATGAAAATTTTGAAATCTATCTGAAATTTTGCAAGTATCTAGAGAGAAGTAATGATTATCTTTTTGCGATGTAAATTTTCTCGTCGAGGAAGATTTTAGGTTTAGGATAGAAATTTATATAATTTTTTTTAAAGAAAGATTTTAAGAAGATTTAAAGGAATTTGGGATTAAAAAAAGAAGAGAAAAACGTTTTTGTAAACGTTTTCAACTTGTTTTTCAACTTGTGTAAATATATCTGGTACTGAGTATTGAAAAAAAATCTATTTTCAAAAAGATTGTATATTCGTCAAATTTCGAGATTTTTATTTCATCATTTATATACATACATCATGAAATAGCTCGCTTCAATTTTTCCCATATAGAAGTTTTTGTTAACAGAGATTTATGCCATGTAACGCATACATTCTAACAGATTTTTATTTACCTATCACGCTTCTCTTTTTTTTTCCCCTCTAAAAGAAAACAGGAAACAAAAATTAAACTGAGTAAACTTGAAAAACACAATGACAAATATGATATACGACATTTTTAACAAAACAATTTTATTCGATTCCTAAATAATATCTTCTCATCAAAGAGAATACATTTCTCGATACATTTTCTACCTTTTCAATAGTCCTCAAACCGAATCGATCCCGATAATTATCATCTCATCAAACGTCCATCATCGACTTTTGTAAAAGACAAATTATCACGATCAATGAAATTGATCGCAGCTTTAACCGCGTTCGCTCTCTCTTTCTCTCTCTCTCTCTCTCTGAGTTCGATCTCTCTTTTTTTCCTTTTTTTTTCGGCCATGGACTTAGCATGGAATACCAGTTCGAAATGACACGCCTTTTACCGGATATTGACCCGATCCGGACGACATATCGCGCGTATTGTTCACTTTGTTCCCCATTCAGATCGGTTCCCCTCTCAACGGGTAATTTACGTTTGTCACACGTTTATTGTCCGGGATCGCGCAGTGTCGATCTCCCACCGAAAGAGCATCGGCCATTGTTCGCCCATCGTTTCGAAATCGTGGATATCCCGAACGACTGATCATCCTCTCGAAACCGGCCAAGTTTAAGAATCGATATCCGAACGATTTACGGCTCGCCATCTGTCATTATCGCCGGTTACGGATGGGGTGAGAGAAAATTCGAATGCGGAACGAATTTGGACCAGTTTAATCGCGTGTTCGTGGAAGGAAAGGTTCGGGGGGGGGAAAAAAGGTAAAATTAAAATTGGTCTCGGGTTCTCGAGCTTGCAGAAATTGGAATTGTATTGAAATAGGAAGAGGGTAGAGAGAATCAGAGAGAATGGGGAAAGTAGGTATTTCACGGTGATAAAGGTTTATTAAACGATGTTTGTGTATCGTTTCCCTTTTTTAAATGTACGTAATCGCGATAAACGAATAAAACGAATAAATTGTTTTAATCAATAAAATTAACTCGTCACGATATTTTACATTTGTATTTAAACGATGGTAAAAAAGTAGTAATATAATTCGATTGATTCGACGTTATTTTATTAAAAAAAAAAAAAATAAATAAATAAAAAGAAAGGGCGAAAAGATTCGTATATACGATAAACTTTTACGATGAACTTTTTGAACAAGCGTGTGCAAATTTTTTTTTTAATTTCGTTAACTTTTCCTCCGTCGCGGATTGAACACGTTAAATCAAAACTAGGGAAAACTGTGTTTAATAATATGTGCATCGTCGTTCGAAAATTTAACAGATTTGCGGGAATTAAGTCGGGCGGGAAATCCTCAAGCGTGAAGAATCCGCACGTAACGTCAAATTGCGTTTTATTCCGGTGAACTATCTCATTTTATAATACCACGGATTTTCGTAGTTTCAGAATTTCGACCGAAAACGTTCGTTTTATCGCCGGCTAGATTGTTTGGAAGTAATGGAGTGGATGGTTTTGTCGGCGTTTGATAAACGCCTCGTAAAATTCAACCGTGATATTCCGCATCGTTATTGCTGCTAATATCATTGCTAATATCGTTTAAATAGAAACTTGTTTGTTTGACAACATAGCTGTGTGCTGGACGATCGTGATCATTCATTGAACTCGTTACACGATTACATTTTTTGGTTAATTTTTTTTTGGATCATGAAGTTTTCTATTCTTTAAGATTCGAGGAACAAAGAAAGAAAGAAAGAAAGAAAGAAATTCAAAACGAATTTGTAATTAATAATTGATGTTCGACATTGTAAGAAACGCGTCTCATCTTGAGAAATTTGTCATTAGAATGAAAAACTTCCAATGTTCGTTCACGCTTAAAGGAACAACGTGTAATATTAATGGAATGGAAACGAACAAAGGAGAGAACGCGTGAGTCCAGTTCAAGAAGATTAATGTTCTTTTTTTTCCTTTTCACTTTTGAATTTATTATTCGCGGTAACTTAACTTAATAACTCGCCTAATGAATTTCCTGTTAGAGAATTTTTTAAACTTTATTAGAAGAAAAATTTTAAATAAGATAATTCGAATATGTAATTTTAAAACGATCGATCTCAAATTACATCGATATTATATGCAAAATAAGATAATAGATATTGTTTAAAAATACTAATTTACATTTTATTTTCCAATTTTATACATAACTGAGGCATGAAACATTGTATTATACTGAGCTATATACGTCATTAGAATTTCATATCATAATTAATATTCGCATCAACGGTAATTACCCCAAATATTTAATAATAACTTTATACTTAAATTGCGCATGTGCCCGTTATCGAATATGTTTAATTTGCATATTTGCAAAACCATTTAACCGTTCGAAAAATAATTTAGCGAAAAATTCAAAGGTTTAAAATTTCTTCTTCACTGATCGTTAATATTACCTCTTTTTAAAAATTATGATTAATGGCCATAACTTATGTACAAAATATTTTCTTATATATCTACTTTTATACAATTTCAATAATAAGAAAGAAAAAAAAAAACTTACTGATACGTGAAATAGCGTGAACATACCGTGTAATAAAAATACACAAATGGGCTGAATGTAATGCAAATATCTACATATGCATGCAATTGCCAAATTGCTAATTCCAAGCAAGCTCTCGAAATTCTGGTAAAGCGTGAGCACTAATTTAAGCAATCCTATCTGCAGTTAAAGAGAAATCCAAGGCTCAACCGTTAAATAGAAAAGCCCAGAGCCAGAATCGAAATAGCATGGAGTATCCGCTCAAAATTTATGATCCATGAATTTGAGAGGTATGGTTGAAATGTATTAATTTAATTTTCATTCACCTTTGATGAGAGGAATCGAAGAGTATCCGTTTCCCATTTATTTTCTACGTTTCTCTTTGTTTGTCAATCGATCAATTTTAATTAGACGATTATATTAATTGCCTCTTTTAATCGTGTATTATCTCGCGCAATATTTTCTTTTTCCCCGATTCTTTCGTTTCAGAGTTAATTCGTTAATTCACGGATATTACTTTTATTACTCGTTTATTATTATTTATATCACTATTGCTCGTTTAATCACAGTTTTATTACACTTTGAAATATCGCCCGTGAATGCACTTGACTAAAAGCGAGGAAATTCATTAATATGTATAATATTATATACAACGAAAATATTCGCTCTCTGAAGTATTTATTCGAGACTCGCGTGCATAAATGTATTTCATTACCTTACGTGAAAAATCAAATTTTCCCGCGTTAATGGATATAACATTTTAACGAAAAAAACGGCGCGCGCATTTAATTATGGCGGACGGTGATGTGATTTGATATTTATTAATTCATATTTTACTCGAAATATTTCTTCTATTTATAATGATATGTTAATATTTCATTATTAAAAAGAAAAAGTTATTAAAATAATACTAAATTTTATTCGAAACTTTTTCATTTCCATTTTTATACAAGTTTCCTTATTGCAGTGAAATTTTTTTCACGATTTATTTAAATCTTCCATCTTTTCTTTTCTCTTCTTTTTTCTTTTTTTTAAATACAGCGTTCTTGCGTATTTAATAACCATTTTAGCTGTT